GATCCAATTTAAATTTTTTAAAATAAATTTGGAATTCTTTTGTAACAAAATAAAAGAAGTTTTTTTATTTAACAATATAAATTTAAATTTCTATTTTAATTTAAATAAAAATTTAATTAATTATAATAATTTTTTAAAAATATCAAATTGACCTCAGTGACCTCAGATACGTTAAGCTGTTTCAAAATAAAAATATACAGATATGTCTCATATGAATTACAAATATAACTCGTTCGGTTCGATATTCATTTTAATTTAAATAAAAATTTAATTAATTATAATAATTTTTTAAAAATATCAATCATAGATTATTGACCTCAGATACGTTAAGCTGTTTCAAAATAAAAATATACAGATATGTCTCATATGAATTACAAATATAACTCGTTCGGACATGGCCGTTCGATATTCGAATTCCGAACAAGATATTTCATAATTTGCCGATAAGGCACGAAAATTAGTGAAACATGAAGTTACATCGTTACGTTAATAATACAAAATATGTATATGTAATTGAGAAATAAAGTTAGAACTTACCTTCGTATAAATCTGCACGAAAGTTTCCGACGCGTCGTTTTACGAGCCGCCGCGACGAAGACGATTCACGATAACGTATATAATACTTCATACACTTTCAATGTACAATAACAACATACAATAAACACTTTCTTATTACACAATAAATGTAAAAATTATTTATTTTTTTCAATCGTTGTACTATTGGATTGTCACGTAATTAAGTGAATAATTTTCAATGACAGTTGCCCACGAAGTAAGTTTATCTAGTTATTATTACTATTAAATTATTTATTAGTAAAATATATTCGATTATATTTCAAGTTCATATTCTTTCGTTGCCATATGAAGTTGGTATCTTTTTAATGATAAACAAATATAGTTTGTTATTATATCAAAAGGAAGACTTCATACGAAAAAGACCAGAATAATCTGTAATTTATGTAAGAATTTGGCTATTGACCATGTGATGGCGTTGAAATCGTTTTACTAGTAATCGCGCTAGCAGCGCTTCCGCATGCGCATAATGATAGGCGCCATAATTTGAATAGTTATTGATAATAGTAATTAGCGTCTTAGCAACATGTTATAAACGTTCCCCTAACAACGAACCTTGTTAGACAACATATGTACGTCTCCCGAGTAACGGGGAATGTTGCAAGAGTCTGTGACTGACCGGGCGTCTTTTGCACGAATACGCGTTACAGTACGGATGTCTCGTCGGTTTCCAGCGTTAAAGCTCTTATTGCTTAGCTGCCTCCGTTTCTCGAGTTATCGTTTGATAGTTTGTGTGTTCGATTATTTGCTCTGACCAATTATACGCGTTCGTTTAAGTGTTTGTGTTAACTAACATTGTGCATTAACGATTTATCGCATTCTGTATAAAAATATACGACATTGCTCCTGTACGCATCATTCTTCTGTTTAAACGATATCCTTTTCCGAAAGCCATTCTCCTGACAAACTCCAAATTGACTCGCTGTCTTACATTTAAATAAAAAAATCTTCTTAATCTTTTTAAAAAGGTAAATTATATTTTTATATTACTCACGCACACAAATATTTATCCTGCTTTATTTCGCTTGCTTTTTTATTTTATCGTTTCCTTTCTTATATTTTCACTCTCATATTTTCGCATTCTTTCTTGCTTTGTTTATTATTCTTTGTAAAAGTTCTTTAATTATTCTCTCTCTATCCCTCCTTTCCTCCTTCACTCAGTATTTTATTTTTTATCTCAGTCTCTCATTCTTTCGATCTTACTACACTTTTTTGCTCTTCCATTCTTTTACTTTTATATCTATTCATCTTTGCTTTCTTACTTGATCTTTCTTTTATTCTTTTGCTCTATCGTTCTCTTGCTTTCTCGCTATCACTTTTTAGCTTTCTCATCTTTTTCTTCTTTCATTTTTCAACTTATCACTTTTTTCTTTTTCTTTTTTTTACTTTTTGCTCTATCGCAGTCCTAAAATTGTTATTTTAATAACATATAAATAATTATAATAACATATAAATTTTTTTATAGCAATCTGGAAGTTTTAACACAAAAGAAAATGACAAGTTTTGAAACAAAAACAGAACTTCAAAGCATGCAATCAGAAATTGAAAAAATAAATCCAATTGATTTATTTACTATAAATGAAGTATTGGATTCCATTCAGATATATGACTCAACTGTATAAGTTTATTCAATTTATTCTTGAAAATTTTATTTTGGAGAAATAATTTATAATTACTTCATTAATATTTGCTGTAATATATTGCAATATATTGATAATTATTAATAATTATTTAAATAATTTAAATTAAATTATATAAAAATAATAATTAAATTATATAAAAATAATTATTATTATTACGTTAAGAAAGATTTTAATTAATTTGAATCACTTAAAGGATATAAAAAATGTTATATTTAATATAAAGAGCAGTTATAAATTATATAATATTATTATAAATATTAATTCATACAAACAATATACATATAATGAATACATTGATAATTACTCAATTAATTTTTATTATACAGAGTGTTGCACCTTATATAATTATGCAAAATGTCTCTATTATTTTCGATGATACAAATTTTTAATGATATATATGACAATCTTTTAGAAAGAAATTTTACAGTTTGAACATAAAATATTGTAGTTTACAAAATACTTAGTTAATATCATCCTTTTTTTGATTTCAAAGAATGATTTTTAATTGGAATGATATACTTTTATTAATGTCATGTTATGTCTCTAATATTAGCACGTTCATTTCTAATTCATTCTCGCATTCTGTCGTTACAAAAATGTACTACCGTAAATTGCAACTTTTAAAGTTTTCAACAAAAGAAATTTTAAATTATTAAATTAGGTGAACAAATAAATATAATATCTGCATCTCGTCTAAACTATTTGGGTAAAAATTAATTTAATAAATAAAATAACACGATTATATTTAACTAATTAAATAATAAATAGATAATAATAAATAATAATTACTCTGATATCGTAAATTTATTAAAATGGTTATATTAAGTGGGTCACTGTATACTTTCGTATTTTATCAAATTTTTATTGTTATATAACACTATTATTATGTAAATGTAATTATTAATTATTTTTATTCATCGTATTGTTCTCATAGTGAAGTAATTGGTTATATCGATGGGATAGAGTCTCCTCGTATCGTAGGTAACAAACAGCAATACAAATTTTTCAAATTCCACCTTAATAATGAAAATGGAAGAAAAATTCAAATAGTTGCTTGGAATGACGACATAGATCAGATATTGCCTCTCATAATACCAAATCATGTAAATATACTTAACTTTTCATGCTGATAAATATTTTTTCAGAATTATAATTCTCTGAAAAATAATTCGTAATATGAATTTTATTATAAAACAGCAATACAAATTTTTCAAATTCCATCTTAATAATGAAAATGGAAGAAAAATTCAAATAGTTGCTTGGAATGACGACATAGATCAGATATTGCCTCTCATAATGCCAAATCATGTAAATATATTTAACTTTTCACGCTGATAAATATTTTTTCAGAATTATAATTCTGAAAAATAAATCGTAATATGAATTTTATTATATTACTCTTATTATTTTCGCTTTATAAATAAATACATACTTAAGTTTTGTGCTTCTTTAATAATTAAATTATTTATATTATTTTACTTTCATTATTATAACTTACTATTTTATTAAAATATATTTTTAATAGATCATTCATTTGGATGGAGTTCAAGCAAGAATTCCAAAAATGGCTAATTTTAATCATGGAAATCTTCCTTACGAATTATTAATCCGTAGTAACGCAATTATTTCAAATTTGGGAAAGTACGAACCGAGTCAAACGTTCAAAGAAGCAATTCCAGTGAAATTAAATGAGATTTTCAATACTTCTGAACGCGTCTGTGAATTGTTATGTTATATCTATATTTAAATTTTAATATATATTTTATATTAATATATATTTGTAAAATTAATAAATTTAATAAAATTAATTAATTTAATGTAATAATTGAATCTATTATAATACTTTTATAATTGAAACGATATATTATTTCAAATTAAAAAGATAATCAAAATGGGACATTAACTAATCTTTTTCTTTTATTTTTTTTTTATTTTATTGCAAATAGTAAACATACAAAATATATATGGAAAACCAGATATCTTTGTTACTATGACTTGTAATCCAAATTGGCGCGAAATTAAAGAGAATTTACTTCCAAATCAACAACCTGCAGATAGGTCCGATATATGTGCTCTATTTAATATAAAAAAGGATTATTTAATCGATGTTATCGTTAGACAAAAATTTTTTGGTGAAGTTTTGGCATACGTTTATGTAATAGAATTTCAAAAACGTGGATTACCACATATACATTTGTTAATTACATTAAATCGGAATTATAAGATAACAACTTCTGAAACAGTTGATAAATTTATTTCCTCAGAAATTCCTGATCCTAATGAAAATGAAAGTTTACATAATGTTGCAATGTAACATATGATTCATGGGCCATGTGGAGATTGGTGTCTGATAAATTTGCTTTAAATGGAAGGATCAAATATTGCTAATTTTCCTGAAATGGAACAATTAACAGAAGAACAAGAAATAGATGATGAAGAACAGATTCAAGAGGATACATTGATAGGTATGCGACAATATGAACAATTAAGCAGAGAACAAAAAGAAATTGTTGATAGTATTTTAGTAACAACAGCAACTAACAATCACAGTAATAATTGTTTTTATATCAATGGTCCAGGTGGTTCTGGTAAAACTTTTATTTATACGACCTTGTATTATTTATTTAAAAGCAGAGGAAAAGTAGTAAGTACTATGGCATTTACCGGCATTGCTGCGATATTACTTCCAAATGGGAGAACGATACACAAAGTTTTTGGGTTGCCTGTACTTCTTTTTGCAGATTCTACATCGAACATTAAAGTTCAATCTAAAGAGGCTGAAAATTTAAAACTTGTGGATGTTTTTATTGTAGACGAAGCTCCTATGGCACCACGTTAAGTATTAGGAATAATGGATCGAACATTACGCGATATAATGCAAAATGATTTGTATTTCGGTGGTAAAATTATTCTTCTTGGTGGAGATTTTAGACAATTATTGCCTATAAAAGAAAGAGCTACACGTTGTGAAATTATAAATTTATCAATAAAATATAGCATTTTATGGAAACAATTTAAAATATTTTCATTGACAGAAAATATAAGAGCTTTACCAAAAGAAAGAGAATTTGCACAATTTTTATTAAAGTTAGGTAATGGTTCTTTAAATGATCAATTGGATAATATTCAGATTCCAGAAAGATGTATAGCAAACACTAGCTCAGATATAATAAAGGAATTGTATGGGGATATTATAATACATAAGCGATATAAAACTATCGCTAATTATGTTATATTATCTGCAAGAAATGCCGATGTTAATGAAATAAATGAAAAAGTAGTAAGTTTGTTGGATAAAACAACAGAGAGAGTTTATACAAGTGTGGATACCCTTGAAGCCACTGGTGATAACGAAGATATACATGAAATAATTATGACGGAATATCTTAACTCTTTGAACCCAACATGTCTTCTACCACATGAATTACGCTTGAGAAAATACAGTGTTGTTATACTTATTAGAAATCTTAGTATCAATGAAGGTTTATGCAATGGTACCAGACTATTAGTTTTAGATTTAGATAGTAACTTATTACAATGTGAAATTTTAACAGGTAATAAGATTGGAGAAATTGTTTTTCTTAATCTCATCACTTTGTATTGTGAAAATGTATATCCATTTACTTTTAAAAGAAGACAATTTCCAGTGAAATTGGCATTTGCTATGACTATAAATAAATCGCAAGGGCAGACCTTTGATAAAATTGCAATAGATCTTCGTAAAGATGTTTTTAATCATGGACAACTGTACGTCGCATTTTCACGAGTTCGTTCTTGGGATTCATTGAAAGTTTATTTAGGAAATGATAATCTATCCAACAAAGTAAAAAATTATGTTTATAAAGAAATACTCGAATAATAAAGCATAACATAAAATAAATAAGTAATAATATATATAGTCCATATTTTCATCATGTGTCCCCCTCTGAACCCTACAACTTTTGTATAAAATATTTTTTTCCATCTTGCTTACTTTACGAGATATTTGCGTGCGTTGATTAAAATGACTCACCCTGTATAAGTAAAAATATATGAAAGATAAAAAGATATATATGTATTTTGTATATTTAAATTTTGTACTGAAATGATTACTTTTTAATTTTTGATTGTTTAAATTCTTA